AAAAAAAAAAAAAATAACTCAAATTACAATGAATACTAAAAGGGTAAAGAGATGCATAATACCCGTGAGATGGTATCCATGGAAGGCGTACCAAGAAGATCAGTAATCAGATCTAACTGATGAACCACATTCTTTCCGGGGAAAAGCGGTTTACCTGTCAGTACCTCAGCAAAAATGCAACCAATACTCCACATGTCAATTGCTGGGGTGTACTGAAAATACATGAGATAAAAAACAAAGAAATGTCAGTCTTGGTATAATCGAAAATAATTCCGGATATAGCGAAGCATGAAGAGCAAACTTTCATAGTGCTACGTATCGACATAAGCTTAAGCATTACAATCATGCAAACTTACACCTAATGCATGCACCCAATCAGATCAGAAATGAGGAAATATACGAAAATTAGTTTTATGTATCCACATATTTTATGTGGTACAATCATGCAAACTAATAAGAAATGCAATAAATGAGATAAAAAATGAAGGAATGTAAACAAATTAGAAAAAGCTCATGCAATAGCACCAAGATCAAGACTTACCCATTCATAGTATCTTTGGATTTCACAAAAAAAAAACTATGACTATCTATAATCATGCTCGTGGCCCTATAGCTCATTTCGCGAAGGGTAAACTGTTCTTGTAGTGCTAACTATTTGCTGCAACAACAACAACAACATACCCAGTATATTCCCAACTGGTTGGGGTCTGGGGGTCAGTTGTACGCAGACCTTACCCTTGTAATTATACAAGGAGGCTGTTTCCGTAGCGACTCAAGGTGCATTGCGTCGTTTGATATATTTTTTCTTTTTTCCTAGAAACTTCACTAATAGAAGAAGCACTAGAATATAATTGAGTCATTTTAATCTAGTCCATTATTAGCACTATGCCAGGAGAATTATCAACAATGATATATTTTGATCTTGTAGTGCTATTTGCAATTTATAAAAAATGAATCAACAGGCAGTAAGGAAAATGTGAAGCTACACCTTTGAGAAAAAGGAGCCACATAATTCTGGAGCCCTATACCATCTTGTAGCAACGTAGTCCTGTTTGTTACAAGAAAAAAATGCACATAATTTTCAGAAACATCTAAACTGCGACATCATAGCTCCATTAAGTTCTTGAATTCTTAACTCATACCGTCCACATTATTGTTGTCGGTGTATCACTGAATGCTACTCTAGCCAATCCAAAATCACATATTTTGAGTTTACAGTTTGCATTCGCCAGAATATTTTTAGGCTTTAGGTCTCGATGATATACATTAGCTGCATTAAAGACACTTGAATGTTAGATCATTTCACAAACTCTTCATGAAAATCTAAACGGCCACAACGATTAGAGAACAAATGACTAGAAAACAAAGACAGAACTGCCACTCTGACACAAGACACGTTTTCTTAACAATCACCAAATTCAAAGCCATATCATAAGGTTCTCATCAAAGAGGAAGACAATTGTACAGAAAACCCAATGAACAATCATATGTGACAATCAGACTAGTTTTTTCTTTTTATTTTAAGGACAAAAACAAAAGAAACACCAAAACCAATGAAGGGAAACAAACGGAGCACCTGTGTGTATATATTTGAGGGCACGGAGCAATTGGTAAAGGAAAAATTGATAATGCTCCCGTGTCAAGTCATCATTAGCCTTAATGACTTGATGTAGATCTGATTCCATTAGCTCAAAAACAACATAGATATCTTTGAATTCTCTTCTTGAAGGCGGAAGCATAATGTGCTTAATCTCGACGATATCTGGGTGTCTCAAAAGCCTCAGAAGCTTTATCTCACGCAGAATTCGGGCAGCATCAGAAATGTGCTCGAAGATATTGTGTATTTTCTTTATTGCGACATTTTCACCAGTAAGAGTATCAAGTGCTGAGCAAACGACACCATAGCTACCTTTACCTATGACCTCCAGGATTTTATATCGGCTTGCATCACCATATTCAGAAAAGAAATCCATTTCCGACGAATTCTGTGGCGTATATAAGAACTATTATTAGTTCATTGCAACAAAGAGAAAACTACACTCCAACCAATGAATATTTGTCCTATATTGCATACAAAAAACAATGTAAAATGTTCTAATCCAACAAGATTATAAAGATGACTGGCATGAACTGAACCACTTTCCTTTCTTACTTTTTATGGCAGCATACAACTCCACTCGGCCACATTTGTCAGAAAATTTATCATAAAGCTGATTGCATGATTTAAAATGATATGGAAAGAAGCAAGCAACCACAACACATACATTAGTCGAGCAAGCAACCACAACACATACATTAGTCGGCCACAAGAGAAGAGTACCGAGCAAATTTTCAAGTTGATATTACACTAGAAAAATTTAACTCCAGACCTGCCAATTTATTTATTTCTTATTATCCTCTCTCCTCCACTCCACCCCTAACTATAAAAAAAATTCTATTCCCTCCACTCCACCCCTAACTATAAAAAAAAAAATAATAATAATTCTATTCCCTGTGTCACCCTTCTCATAAGTTAGCCATGAACAAGAAACTACAAGTATCCATTTCACATGAATATGATCTATCAAATAGACAATAAGAGTACCACTGTTCCACTGGATTGAGATGCCTATCCGGCTATCCCTGTCCTTTCATCTATTTTTTCAGATAACTAAAATCCCTATGCTAACACAGCAATCCACCTTTTGAAACATAGCATGAATATAATGGAAAAAAACATCTGCACAAAGCTATGGCAGAACAATTCATCAAAGGTAGCCAGCCAGTGAGAAAGAGAAACTCGACTTGATCTGACAGAATCAATGACACAGATAGAAGCGAACAAAATCAAATGAGAAACATATTTATGGCGTAAGAAAGACAGATGGAAAACCACAATTCAAGGGTGTATTTCATCCTACCACCGTGGGCAGTGCCCACACCGGGGTTTTCAGCTTCGGATCAACTGATTAACACACACCCACAAGGATGAGTGCGTGTGCGTGTGCGTGTGTGTGTGATCTAATGGTGAAAAACCCAGTGCGGGCACTACCCACACCCATAGGATGGAATGGACCTCTCAATTCAAGATGATCTACATCTCTTTACATCAAATTCTTGTTATAATGCACATAATGTAAAATCTCCACAGCCAAATCCTCATCATCTAACAAAATTCATCAGGATAAAGTCAGAAATAACTATATATGTGTAACCCAAAACGAAGAAAAAAAAAAGATAAAGGAGCTAACTTTCTTCCTGTGATCTGGCATCATTTCCTTCAAAAATCGAAACCCTGATTCAATATCAGCAGCCCTTTCACCCAAAATAACTGAACCAAACGAATTCAAATATTATCCCCAAGATTCTCAAGAAATGATGAGCAGGCCACTCAGCCGCATTTGCCCCATCTACCGCGGCTTCGGATGGCGAAGGAGCAGTCCCACCTCGTACGCTTCGTGTTATTGTTAAAGACAAAGAGAAACCGATCCTTCATAAAACGATCCCCTACTCCTTCTTCTTTTTGTTCACCAAAAATCATAGAACAACAGAGCCAACCATCAAAAAGGGGAAAAAACCCAATGCAAGAAACACAGGAAAATTACACCAATGTAAAAACTCTCTCTCTCTCTCTCTCTCTCTCTCTCTCTCTCTCTCTCTCTCTCTCTCTCTCTCTCTACCAGCCAATCTACTGTGATGGGCACTGTGCAATGTGAGTGCGTGAGTAGGTGTGGATCTCAAGGTACCCTTTAGCGGCAGGTAGAGGGTAGAGAGAGATCCGACACCGACAGAAATCAGAGAGGAGGTTGGGTTTTAGAGAGAGAAGTTAAGAGAGATGGTACAAAACATGTGAAAGTTTGAGAGAATTGATAATTGTTTATAAAATAATTTATTTATTCACTTTTATTTCGATTCAAAATCTAACTCAACTTTAACTCAACTTTAACTCAACTCCACTATCTTTAATATTATTCATATAATTAAATAATACAAATCAATCATTCTTACACATCACATCAACTTTAATTCACTATTCATCTACTCACATAATTTTAACTACCTATCATTTCCAATCATTTTTGTTGTAATATATATTGACAATATGTAAGATCCATGTGTAAGATAGATAGAAAAAGAGAGAGAGCAATAGAAGAATAAGAGAGAAGAGATACGCCGTTAAAACCCTCATCTTATTCATTCACTTGAGCCCTATATATAAGGGAATACAATGTACATGACTAAATACCTAATGGGCTCTGGCCCATACCTACAAAGCTTATATCTAGGTAATGTCCACAAATTAATATTTACAACACTCCCCCTTGGACATTACCGCATCATGTCTATGCCTCGTTAAAAACCTCGCTATAAAACCCTGTAGGAAAAAGCAGTCGAGGAAAAGAGTACATATATATGCAAATTTATGTGTTACACATGCTGCCTCGTTAAAAACCTCACTAAGTAAAACCCAATGGGAAAAAAAACTTAGTCAAGAGAAAAATAGTACAACACCGGCCAACAGTGCCTAATCTTCAGGATTATAATTAACCTTCCGGGTTCGATTTTCGAGATTTATTTATCGCTCCCCCTGAAGGGAAAACATGTATAGTTACATTCATAATTGTATGTTGCTCCCCCTCAAGGCAAGAGTTTCTAACATAAAATCGTCATTTGTTGCTCTTCTGGAGTTAATATAGATTCAAAAAATATGATCAAATGTATTTTATAATTTATTTGTGTAACACAAACCAAGTTATCTTCTGGATAAATATAGGAAAATTTCAATAACCAATGGTAAAAGGTTAATACCATTTGAGAGGTATATAACCAACTGAGGACCCATACTTCGGGGATCAATTATACAATTGATGTCCTTATCCACCAATATCATATATCAAGTCCAAAGATAACT